GAGATAGGCTCCTCATCTCCATGTAAGGCTCCCCTCTTGGCCTCTTCCCTTGTTCGCACATGAATTTACACCTTGATTGGTTTGGCATTCAGGCAAACCTGCACCAAGTATTTATAATGTGGGCAAGAGGAGGGATCTCAGATAGTGCTAGGCTGCCCGGTTGCAATATGCATCAGATGGCTCTGACCTTTCCCTCCATAGAGAATATATTCCATGGCAAGTAGTCTTTTCAAGAAAATCCTAGCTTAGCCAAATTAGTACGTTCTGAGTGGATAAGAATGCATGCAGGAGATTTGCAATATGTGAGTGCACACTAGCCACATGATTATTAATATGTTTTTCTTTATGCTTTTCAGAAACGTTTGGACTTCCAGCAGATTATCTTTGAGATATAGCCATACACAATACTCCCTCCGGTTTTTATTTTAAGGTCGTTTAGGACAAGGTTTAGCATACCAAGGTGTAATTAATTTGGGTCTATTCTTCCATATTTGCCATTATTAAATATGCCTTGGAGTTGTTTCAATACAACAACCTCTCTCCACCCGAGTGGCTATTGCATTTGTTCTGGAGTCTTGACGTCACGGGTTCGATTCCTGAGTTGGGCTGGTTTTTTGCGATTTTGGTGTTTTTGCATGCGTCCGTTCAAAGAGGAGCGGGGAAGATGAGAGGGCTGCGGCGCGCATGCAGTTTAATTGCCGCCTCGAGAGTTAGCGAGTCTAACCTCGGGACCGAGCACGCGTGAGGGCAGAATAGTCCACAATGGATGAAAACGCTGATGAACGACCTCTATTTTGAAATCGCAACAATCTCCAGAACGACTTTAAAATCAGAACCGGAGGGAGTACACTATTGTATGGCAATTGCTCTTACAGCTTACCACTTACAAAACGTAGTTTGTTGGGCTGTCTTAATTAGAGGCTAATGAGAAAAATTCTTCCAATTGGATGGAAAATTGGGCATCAAACCTAAAGCACTACGTACCATGGATCCGTTTAATTGCTAGGCTTGTATTCACTAGTAGTAGTTGCCAATGTTGTCTTAGACCCAAGTCATGAATAGCACGTACCAACTCCATAAATAAACCTTAGATTGCTATCCATCCCTTAATTGCTAAAGGTAGAAGTTTGTGGTCCGGTTTCCAGATTATGGAAGGCAAATATAAGATGCCATTACTTATTCGAGTTCAATGTTTAACTATTTGAACATTAATTTCTAGATCAAAGTCCAACCTCCTATTCACATTATGTAATGATGAAATTGATAATTAATGAGCTCTAATTTGTTTATTGTTATCTGTGATATTGTTGAGTGATTCTTATTCTTTGCAAGGGAAGTATAGGTAGGAACCTAAGAGCATTGAATTTGAAAAAAAGAGATCTTTTACAATGGTCGGAAAAGTACTTGGGTACCTCCAGGTTCTTTCATCCTTTTCTATTTTTCTAATTAATTGATTGAGAAATATACTATAGAGGGTATTTTAGTAATTGCGGGCTAGGCTGAAGGGCTGGGTCAGTGGTCACCCCAAAGTCATCAGCCGCCTCCCGCTTACGGTTTGCAAATTCACTCATATGAATATGCAAAGCAGGAAGCACAATAGCAGAATTCATCTCGATCTAAACTTCTAGATGGGGAGCAAAGAGTGGTGGTAGCTAGAAGACGATCTTGGCAGTGGGCAGTACATGGCGCCAGCAGCCGGCAGAGATGTACAACAGTGTTGCAGCGGGTGAAGGCCACCGGAGCAGACTGTAGAATTGAGGGAGGCAGGGAAGCGAGGACAAGAACTAGACCACCGCTCGCCTGCGTGCAGTGGTTTTGCACGACCAAGACACAGGAAGACTAATCACGGTTAGATCGGTTGGTCTGGCACACACTCTGAGATCCACCTGCGAGGACGGCCGCGACCACGGCATTGTTGCAGATTCAGACAGATGACATGGAAAATCCCATTTTTGTCCTTGAATGACAACACTAAAATGATTGATTTACCCTTATTCAAAAATAAAATATAAAATGAAAAATAGATCTTACTCTACGTATTTTGGTACTGGCCCCACCTAATTTAGTATTATCCCCAACTATTTGGTATCTCTAGGTACTTTCAGTTGGGTACCTCCTATTTTTTTCACCGTCCAATCTCGCCCAATGCATAGATGACTCATGTTTTTTCCAACCATCGTAAAATTTCTCTTCGAAAAAATAGAGTACTTGTGCAAAAGTGTTAGTTATTAATTTATAACTTTGTAGCAAGAGCAAAAGTGGTTCTCAGCACGAACAATCTTGCAAATGAATATTTTCCACATCGTACGAAGAAAATATTATATGAACCTGCACTTTAATCGAAGGCACACAAACCTAATTTCTACTTTCGATAAAATAAAATATTCCGTTTTTACAAGTTGGTCCTATAGGATTTGCATATATACTCCATTTCCCTTTTTGATTGTATACTCTGATTTCTTTTTCAATTGGGATAAATACTACAACTAACCCGGCCTGTAATTGCCAAAGCAAGGGGCTATATAACTCCAGCAGATCTGTTGACATTAAGATCGCATCCTAGACTTGGTATCCTCTTGCAAGTGGTTGATGTGAACTTTGAGATGCCAAATGAAAAGAGTCAAAGTATCCAAGATTCTATTCTGGATGATAATGCGCCAATCCAGAAGAATGCCAATAATATATAGGCAAACAAACTTGTCAAAACAAGAATCCAATATTAGCTTTGTGCCAAGTGGCAACTGTCGCTCTACATGCTTGGATGTGGCCAAGTTTATAGTGGACGAATAAGTTCCATTAAAAGGACCTGTATGAATAACCTTCATAGGAAAACCCGCGGCAACTATTGCCTATAAGAAACATACAAGGAAAACAAAGAATCAAGCAAAGCGCCAACCTGACAATGACGACACAGGCAGTGATTGCATGAGTATATATGGGCATCAAGCTAATGAAGTAATGAAGATTTATGAAACAAAATTGCAGAAATTCTACTGGCGTTGCATGGGCGTTTATGTAAATCAACCTATTACATGTAAGATTTCTTATCTGACAAATGTTGCACGCTTATCTGCGTAAGCATAAAATGAAAATATTCATATATAACATATATACATAGCTTCCCTGTGCCCTTATACTTATATCACTAATTATTTATATCCTTGCAAAGCCGCTGACAGGTTGATCGTTCCTTTTTTTTCTTTCCATTTGCTATTTTTATTGCCTATTTTTCCCTCTTTCTTCTTTAAAAAGATATAACTTTTTTTCCTTTCCCCTCTTATTTTCCCCCACGGTACAAGGTAAATTCCATTATAAGCGATTAGCTCCTACATTTTGCTATTTTTTTTATTCCATCATCACTCATCATCTCTTGCAGCGTAGATATATAGTTCACACATACTAAAGCATTGACACATAAACGATATATTTTCACTGATTGAAAACTCACTTGGTCTTCCTAATTATGTTGCATTGACAATCAACAGACAGTTCAACGTACTGCTTGCAGTTTTGACTCAAACTGCATCTGTTCCTTGCAAAGTTAAGGTAAGCAATATGTGCAACACATACAAGAAAACAGTAACATATTTAGCTCTCCAGAGTCCAGAGGACGGCCGCTCCATCTTTTTTTTAGCGGAGAGGATAGTAAGATAGTTGTGACTTGTGACAAGTTACAGTACTAAAAATAACACAAGCGCCAATGCAAGGAGCAATGCACTGAAGCAAACGGCCGAGAGTAAAAGGAACGGAGGAAGAGGAGGATCAAACGGAGTACAGAGAGGGACTTGTATCTATCTATCTATAGACTGAATGAAACCCGCAGCAACCCATTCGTTCGCCTCCTCGTCTCCTCGAGAATCCGTGCTGCACAACTTCTGTCTGTCGGAGTGCTCCTTTAATTTCGTCGTGGAACACCCAGGAGGCCAGGAATTTCTTTTCCTTCCAAAGTCTCCATGAAACAAAGTCTCCATGAAACCAGCATTACTGCAGAGTCGAAGCCGCGCCGCAGATCTTTGTTCAGCATTGTTTTCCTCTTACAAAAGCCGCAAACAGGTGCCCTGAGGTTTCTGGAAGCTGATCAATATACAGAGCGCAGTCATCAGATGGCTGCAGGTTGTGTCTTATAGAAGACCCGAGGAAGAAGGCTCTGCAGGCGGAGGACACAGAGTAGCAGCTGTCAGCTGACCATTTCTCAAAAAAAAAAAAGGGCTGTCAGCTGTGTTAATGTATATATAGACATAGTCTTCTCCATTTGTGGCCAATGTAGGCCTTATGGCCCATTTGGCCCATACTCTGTAATGTCTGTACCTGTAACCTAGACTGAGTGGCTGTGTGTGCAGACACAAGTTGTTTAAGTAAGACAAAGCCTCTTCCAGCCGCCGGTGCTCTGCCTCTCCTCACCGCCAGCGCTCTGCCTCTGCTTCTCCTCACCGGCGAGCGTGCTGTTCTCCCTGACACCTGATTGTGGTGTCGACCTCCCTTGTGCTGCGCGCGCAGGCCCCTTCTCCGCCCGTCGTGGGGGCTGGGGGCCGCGCCTCTCCTACGTGTCGCCGATTGAGGTGGCACCCAGTGCGGCTCTTCATCCTCTGTGTCCCCAGTTGAAGTGGAGCTCCTCCTCCCCCTTTTCCTTCCCTCCATTTCATCCCCCCAGTACCTGCTGTCTGCTGAAGGGGGTACTTGTGCTGCTGTGTCGGTCTGCTGAAGGGGGTGCTTGTGCTGCTGTGTCGGTCTGCTTTCCACCGCCAGCCTCTGCCATGGCGCCACCAGCTTCTTCTTCTGGTGGTGGTGTGCCATCAACCAGTCATGCACCATTTTCGTTTGGTTTACCTGTCCTGGATGTAAAGCTTACTGGTCAAAATTATAGGGAATGAGCCTTCTCTCTCAAAATGCTGCTGCGATCTGCTGGTTTTGCTTCACATCTTACTGATGATCCACCAGCAGCCACAGCTAATGCTGATGATAAAGAGGTCAAAGCTTAGCGCTTTACTGGTGACCATGTGATGGCAGCTATCTGCCTAAATGTTGATTTGAGCATTCGTTCTTGCCTCAAGGATCACACTACTGCAAAAGAAATGTGCGATTACTTGAAAGGTCGCTATCAACAAAGCAGCTCAGCTCTTCGCTATTCAATTCGCCAGAATCTTCACTATCTTCAGCAGCAGCAAGATATGTCAGTTGAGGAGTACTACATTTCCTTCACTAAGCTATCAAGTCAGCTTGCCTCCATGGTGCCCAAGCCCTCTTCCTTATGCAAGGATTGTATCACCTCTTGGACTTCCAAAGACAAGTATGATCAAGAAAACACTATGTTTGACTTTGTGATGGGTCTACTGTCTGAGTTTGAACCCATTTGTGTTCAACTTCTTGGGAGACCTACTCTTCCAACACTGGCCGAGACATTGTCTGCTCTCATTGCCGAGGAGACACGTCTTAGGACTATTGCTGCAAACTTACCTGTGTCTCAACATTCAGTGTTAGCTATTGCTCCCTTGTCTATTCAAGCTGCAGCCTCAGCCCCAGCTACCTCTCATGGGATTCCCTGCAGTCATTGTGGCCAGACAAATCATCCTGATGCGCGATGCTTCAAGAAGTACCCACACCTCCTAGCTGAAGTGAAAGCAAAGCGTGCTGCCTCAAGGCGTGGGACAGCTGCAACATTTTCTGATAGGACTCAAGCAGCACCCCCACCTCAACAGCAATCCAGTAGCCTCTCTGCTCCAGTTAGTGCATACATGTCAGCTAGCTCCTTGTCTTCTGCATCACACTCAGGTACTACTTGTTGGGTTTTGGATTCTGGAGCTTCTTTTCACATGACTTCCAATTCCTCTCATTTGGATTCTTGTCATCATGTCACTGATACTCGCTGTGTTCAGACCGCTGATGGTAATTTTTGCACTGTTACTCATCAGGGCCATCTTGCCACCTCTCAATTTAGTGTCTCTGATGTTTCTCTTGTGCCTAAACTTTCTATGAATCTAATCTCTGTTGGTCAACTTGCTGATCTCAATTGTGTTGTTGGGTTTGATGATACCTCTTGCTTTGTTCAGGATCGTCGTACCCAAGCTCTTCTCGGTACTGGCCATTGCCATAGGAGCTCATCAGGCCTCTACATCCTTGATCATCTTCGTTTGCCGCCTATTGCATCGCCATCATCTTCTTCTGCAACATCATCATCAGCTTTTGTTGCGGCTACATTTCCCCAATGGCATCACTGTTTGGATCATTTGTGTAGTTCGCGTCCGTCTACCTTAGTCAATTAGGGTGTTCTTGGTCATGTATCCATTGATCCCTCTTTTGAGTGTACTGGTTGTAAGCTGGGAAAACAAATTCAGCTCCCTTACCCCTCTAGTGATTCGAAAACTACCCAACCTTTTGCTCTTGTACACTCTGATGTACGGGGACCTGCCCCTTTTGTTTTCAAAGGTGGCCACAAATATTATGTTATTTTCATTGATGATTATTCTCGTTATACCTGGATTTATTTCATGAAGCATCGTTCTCAATTGCTATCAATTTACTAGTCTTTTGTTCAAATGGTTCATACTCAATTTTCTTCTCCTATTCGCATTTTCCGTTCTGATTCAGGGGGGAGTATCTTTCAAGTGCTTTTCGTCAGTTTCTTTCCTCTGAAGGAACTTTGCCTCAACTCTCTTGTCCAGGGGCTCACGCTCAAAATGGTGTTGCATATTATTGAAACTACACGAACACTTCTTATTTCCTCTTTTGTACCTTCTCATTTTTGGACTGAAGCTATCTCTACTACTGTCTACCTCATTAATGTCCAACCATCATCTCGTCTTTAGGGTAAATGCCCTGGAGAGGTCTTACATGGATCCTCACCTGGATATGTTCATCTTCGTGGTTTTGGTTGCATATGGTATGTTCTTTTGCCTTCTCATGAATGCACAAAGCTAACAGCCCAATCGGTTGAGTGTCTTTTTGGGTTATAGCCTTGAACATAAGGGTCATCGTTGTTATGATCCTTTAGCTCGCCGTATTCGTATCTCTCGTGATGTCACTTTTGTTGAAAATAGACCGTATTTTTACTCTTCTACTGCTTCACCAGCGACATCTGTGGAGTCTTTGTCTTTCCTCTTCTTACCACCTATCTCTATTCCATCTCGTGATTCCCCTTCTAAAAATGTTCCACCTTCTGAAACAGATCCACCACCTCCTGCTCCTACACCCCCTCCACATTCACAACCAAAACCTTCAACTGTCACTCCTTTTCCTTTTCACTATCGTCGTCGTTCCAAACACTACTAGAAATATCTACTTCCACGACGAAAATCTTAATGACGAATCCGAAACTGTTATAGAATATCGCTTTTTATGATGAATATTTCCATTTCATCATAGATCAGTGGTGACAATCCTCAAACCGTCCCTATCTATGACGAAATCAGATATTATCACAAAAAACGTCATAGAAGAGCACACGGTTTCGTCACAGATCACTCGCGCGACTCATCTGCGACGATCTTTTTAATACTGTGACAAACAGGGCTTCGTCATTGAATTAATTACACATCTATGACGAACAATATTCGATCTGTAACGAATGGCAGTTCGTCATAAATCTCCACACGATCCTTTCTTCATCCGACGTATACATGTGGGACCTGCAGTTACTCATCTGTGACGAATAGTTTTTCGTCATAAATTCGTCATTGGTCTCCAAACAGATTATTGCATTCGAAGACATATTTGAAACTCTAAACAACTTCAAATAAAAATCTTTTTAACAACAAAGTTGTAGACTTATTGAGAACTACAACTTTGGTATATACCATATCAACATATAAGGTTGTTTAATAATTTAGAATTTAGAATTTAAAATATGTGAACTTAAAACAATATTTTGAGACTCTTAATAGCTTCAAATTAAAATCTTCTTAACTATAAAGTTGTAGATTGCATCGAGAGCTATAAATTTAATATAAAGTTTATCATCATCTGACTTCTAATGAAGAAGTTATGTTATTTTTAATAGTTTCTAATTCTTTGTACGAGTTAATAAAATGAATGCCCCTATCTAGAAATAGGTGAAATGATATATAGTACACTTAAAATGCATATATAAGGGAAGGCCTATGCATATATGTGCTCCGGCATATAAATTGAATACCGTGTAATCACGTGAATATGTGATGTTTTGTTAGTTATAAAATAAATAACCACTTGATTTGATGGCCTAATCCACCATGCAAGTGATACACTTGCGGATGAAATGATCTCCATTAAAAATAAATAAAAATAGAAAGCGGTAGATTTCTGGCGCACAGGCTTTTTAAACGAAGCTGGATGCCGGCCACAGCGACCAGGTTACGACCTTTTGATACAATTTGTCAAAAAGGGAAAAAATTAAGAAAAAAAGGCTAGACGTCCACAGTCATTATTTGGGCTGATTAGTACTGGTCATTAGCCACCACTAATCTCAATTATGGGCCTTCAAGAAGCGACTTGTGCGTGGCCCATGCAAGCATGTACGTGTGTTGACATGTACAAACTAGTATTGTTAGCTTCTTTCCTGAAAGCTAGCAAGTCTACACACGCACGTACATCTCTTTCGGCTCACTTATATTAATTTGATTCGATCTTCTTAGAAAGTTTATGCGTAGCTCAATTGGATTGAAATTGATTCGAAACCAGTTAATAATATACAAGTGAAATATACTTTCAAAACTATTAATATTCTCAACCCGTTCGGCTGCTCCACTTTTGGCTGATGTCGGCTGGACTGCTCCTGCTGCTACAGTGCTCGAATCAGCCCGCCGAATGGCCAGCTGCCGACCAGCTATAGTGCTGCGTCTGAATTCAAAAAATGGCGCCAACAGGATGGTGTTCCAGGCATTTGAATTCAAAAAAAAGGCATCGATAACCAATCAAGTCAATTTACAAGTCATGGAAAGTTCATTTGTACAACAAGGTGATTACAAACACAACAAACAACTCATGCCATCCATTTCCAACACAAATCACAGTGCTATGATAGCACTGTAGAATCATTTGTGCCATCTTCCTTCTTTTGCTGCACCAATCAAAGTGAGGCTGAAAGGCAATACATCGGAACTCATGCCATATTTTAGCATTTGAACCAAATGAACTTAGCACCTAAATGTCACAAAGTCATTTAAGTAACTAATCATGAGGACTCAGGACCACTGCAAAGTAGAATTGCTATTCAGAGGGTGCTCATCGGCAACTATTCCCCAGGTGCAGGTGCAGGTGCAGGTGCAGGCAATATATAACACACGATTTCCAACACAAATCACAGGAAAACGAAGATAGCCATACAAAAGTCAGATACCCAACCTTCCATCTTCATCATGGCATCTGAGAACATCAGCAGCGGTGGCACCTACAGAAGTAGCAATTTCCAAAGTGAGCAGATCGTAACAAAGCATCCTTTCTCAAAGTTCTATAGCAACCAAATTACAATCTACAAAAGCTATTAGCAATTGCCACATAAACACAGGACAGCAAACAGGGGCGGAGCTATAAGCAAATGACCCGGTGCACTGTTTAAGTAGCATACACAATTCTTTTGAAACATATGGTGAGGCTGTTGATTGGCACAAAATTTTTTACCCTGGTGCATTGGCACAAGGTAACTTCAACATTACATTGCCCCTGACAGCACTGACAGCAAATGGCCAAATCAAGGACTTGACAAACCACAATACCGGTAACCACATAACAAAACCTGAATGTGTTAGGGAGGTTAGCTCCCTAAACCTTAATGTGTAGAATGCCATGTTCAGCTCCCCCAGTTCAGTGTTTTTAAAGATAAACTAAAAATGGTCAGGAGAAATGACCATGCAGGCAATCAAATATCTGAGTTTGACTATTACTTTGCCTTGAAATACTACTATGTATTTTTTTCAAAATCCTCCAATGTCGCGATACTATATAGTTTGTAATTGAGTTGATCCTGACATCAAGATAACCTGACATTCATTTATTAGCATATCCTTTTTAAAGCTGATTACGCAGATATACTAAACAAGTAGAGTTTTTCCTTGAGAATTTGTTTGCAAAAGATCACCATTTAACCCAATGGTTTAGGCTTCACACATGTAAAATATTGGATCAGACTACTAGATCAATATTCACACCAAACTTTAGTAAGCTATCTAAGATAGATCACAAAAGAACATGTAAGGTATAACCATAAACAAAAGCCAAGACTTACCCCAACGAGCAACTGCAGCCAGTTTGGTCCCTTCACATGCTTCTGGACAAAAGGGATCCCTGTTCCAAAGAAACAACAAAACAATACAGTATCAATTTGTACCAACCTGGATGCTTACTAATCCAATCCCAAAACCAAACAAGTAACTGGAAGGTACCTGTCTGTGTTAACCCCGTGCACAGCACTGAGCAAAGCGCCGGCACCGGAGCCAGCCTACAACAACAGCACAAACAGGACAACAAATCGCACACAAGTTAGCAGCAATTTTCCTAAAGCGGTGGCGCAAAGACAACATATATTGAAGAATAGTACAATGCATATCAAGGAAACAAAGAACTTCAACTAATACTATATATAAGTCTCACCAATTCCAAGATGGGTGTTCACACTAGCATATCTTGTAGTTCCTGTCAAGTTCTTGTTCTCACTGCAGCATTTACAAGCTTCTAACTGCCCTAGCTCGTGACCACCTACAAAATTTAAAGTGAGTCTACATACCGGACAGTACTTAACTAGTCTCATAAACCTGAAGTGGTACATCTGAGCCACACATTTACATGACAACACACAGTTTATTTGAATTCATGACAACACAGCACACATAGTTCACGATACAGGCCACATTACAACAATGGAAAGGAAACGAACAGACACCAGTTCAAACAAATCAACAGACACGAATTCAAATAAAACAAACCAAGGAAGCATCCAATTGCAAAGCAGCTGTAGATCCATCACACTACTGGTGGCCGAAACTGGTGGTCTCTGCTGCCTGCCTCCTCGATCCAGCTCCTTGTGTCCTGCAAATGGCATTGTTAGTGCACATACAGCATGTTTAAATTGTAGCAAGCACACAACAGCCTTTGTGTACATACCTGTGCACTACATAGCCCATA